CAAACATGGCCACAAACTGGCGTGAACTTCTTCATGTGTATGGTATTCACCTACCAGATCTCTCAGATCTTCTTCTGTGACTTTAGTTGTACCATCTGTACGTTTGACTACCATGGGATGTAGAGCTTTTGGTTTTACGGCTCTGAGTCTTTGGAATACTTTACCTCTTGATATACGTAGGCCTAATAGTTCTAGTCTTTCAATTTTTAAATCACGTCTTAAAACGTATTTTTTGAGCTTATTCTGATTGATCTAGTTTTGTGTATTATTGTGCATTGTTTCTTGTCATTTATTGTTTATGTATTTGATTTTTGTAAGGTGTCCTTGAGTGTCTTGAAAGGTGCCCGTAAATAAAACGAATGATTATTTTTATTATTATTTAATGGTGAATATGGTCCACATCCTGCAGTGCTGCTTTTAATATCTTGTTTTGCTCCATAAGCATCCAGGTGTTTCACTGTCTGAGACATGAAGGAACGGGGGGCAGAACTCTGCTGGTGGACGGTTTCCACGCCGCTGATGCGGTGCTCCAGCGAACGCCCGAGAACTTTGAGCTGCTTTCACACGTGCCGATCAAACACGAGTATGTGGAGAACCTGAGTGAGCATCGCAACCACATGATCGGCATCGGCCCCGTGCTCAACGTCTATCCGTGGAACAACGAGGTGTACATGATTCGGTAAGAGCACGTGAAAACTAAGGGATCGTGTCATTCATTTTCCCTTATAACATAGTGTTTTTTGCACCAAAACAGTCCTATTTTTTATTTTTTTTTACTTCTGCCATGCACCCTTTGAGCTGTAGTTTGTTAGATGTAGTTTGTTATATCGGTTACATATTTTGTCTGTTTATAGTGTCTCTTTGGTGCATATTTAGATTTACCAACAAAATTCATTCCTAAAAGTGTGTGTGAGAGAAGAGAAAGAGGCTAAATGCATTTTATATGAGTAATTTTAGACAAATCTAACTAATAGGTGCAATACACGCACACAAAAAAATCTGTATTTCATGTATAAAGCTACAGAGCACTTCCGGGTCAAAACTGACCCGAACATGAAATGTGTAAGAATTTAGTTTAAATTGTTAAACCTGAAATCTGAAAAAAAAAAAAAAAGTGCATTTTGATAGTTTTAAAACATTTGCAAACTTGTTTCCTGTACTAGATGGTCAGAACTGAACTGAATGCAATGAGGGCTAAGTTATTAAAGGAAATACATTTCCTAATGACATTAAACTTATAATTAAAGGTTCTGCTGCATTTCATCCAGTTTTGTTTGAGTTGTGTTTTCTTGTTTTGCAGGTATAATAACTATGACCGTTCTGTTATTAACACAGTCCCTCATGATGAGGTGCGGCGCTGGTACGTGGCTCACAGGCAGCTCACCGCTGAACTCAGGAGACCAGACAATGAGCTGTGGGTCAAACTCAAACCAGGGAAGGTATGCAGAACATCTCCACTAAAAACATGCCTGGGTCGTATTTGATCATTTAAGAAAAGCATAACAAGCCATAAAGAAAATAAAGCCTTTTTTTGCATTTGATATCATGAGAGATAAACACATTGCAAAGTACATGCCTGAAGTAGAATGGGAATGTCTTTTTTGTATTCCAGTTTTGAAAATTTAAACTGAAACCCTGAACTGTGTCACATTTGATATACACATTTCTAAGGCTTCTAAATGATCAACCTGAATAAAACTTTGCTGCTAATCCTGTTGTTCACAAGATACAACATGCCTGTCTGATTGATAGTTTATACTTTTTAACAAGTGCTTCACATGTATTTTGCTGTGAAATCTTTACTGAGTTTTATAAAGTAAACATAAGAATAACTTTGATATTGTTAGTAATATTTCAAGATAAACACTTAGTGAAGCAGCTTGGCTTTACTTGATCATCATGTTTATTTGTTCATTTCTCAATCATCATTGTATTGCATTGCATTATATGTTTTGATCATCAAACTAAGCATTTAAATATCATCTTAATAAGACCTGTTATTGGAGATATAGAGTGACGCAAGATCTCATTGATTTAAATTACTAGCATCAGAATTTCATCACTTTTTGTCCATATAAATATCAGCATCTGCACTAAATTGCATATTTGTGGTCAGTTTGGGTCTCAGAATAAAATTGACATGTTTTTTTCCTTCTCGACTATTAGCTCTGTATTCTCAATATATCATATATGAGCCTCAAAAGCCTGATGTTTAAAAATCAAATAAAATATGATACTCAATAAAAAACACCTATGCAAACTTTTAAAGATCTTGTAAAAAAAACAAAAAACTATTATTTAATATATTTCAAATATAATTTCATATGTCAGGCTTTACAGTGTCAATTGTCATAAAAATTCACACACACACAAAAAAAACGTATTAATAGACTTGAATTTATTATTAATGGGTGCAGTATGACTTTTCCAGACGTTTCTTCATAAGGTTTATCTCATCTGATGTGGAAAAAGTTCCATGTATTAATTCAGACTACCTACATTTACATGCAACCTAAAAATACATTTTTAATTGGTTTGATGATTCAGTTGGACTGAAAAATGAAATTTTTCGATTTTGGGGTGGTGTAGATCATAGTTGTTTTTGCCATGTAAACCTTTAAATGTGACTACTTTCTCAATCAGATGAATCCTTCTCAATCAATTCAGTGCCCAGAAGCATATAGTATATTTCTATATGTGTGGAGAAGAGTGAATATTACCTACATCTGTGACCCTGGAGCACAAAACCAGTCTTAAGTCGCTGGGGTATATTTGTAGCAATAACCAAAAATACATTGTACGGGACAAAATTATTGATTTTTCTTTTATGCCATACATCAAGGGAAAGATTATTTATTCAGCTTTCAGATGGATAAATCTCAGTTTCAAAAAATTGACTCTTATGACTGGTTTTGTGGTCCAGGGTCACATATTTGCTAAAAAAAGCCTCAATGTTTCGTTTATTTTTTATTTTTATTAGGGATGCACCGATATGAACATTTGGCCGATACCGATAACCGATAATTCTTTGTTTTTGAAAGCCGATAACCGATATGTTGGCCGATAAATCTATATCCAAATTTTTATATACTTTTTGAGAACAATATTACAATGTACAATTGCACAAAAGGCTGCAAACGAACAGCGCGCATCTGAAGTGTCTCTGAAGGAAATAATGCATTATTTATCGGCTTTAAGATATCGGCCAAATTTTCTTATCGGCCGATACCGATAACAGAAAAAATGAGCATTTATCGGCCGATACCGATATGGTGGCCGATATATCGTGCATCCCTAATTTTTATGATATGTCATCTAGGCCTGGGCGATAAAACGGTATCGATATTTATCGACGGTACACCTTCTTCGATATCGATAGAAAAATTGTTCGATATAGTGCATGATATAGACACGTACTATGAGTGATGCAGACAGCACACACAAACACGAACACATGCTGAAATGAGTGCTGTGCCTGCCTGTGATGAGGAGATTGTGAATAAATAATGAATATTAGTCGAATTTAAAATAAACATTTGCATTTGAATGTTAGGTGTGCATCAGGGAGCATCATCAGTGTCGCGCGAGATGCGGTGATGTAAGTGACGTTGTATTTTAATGTTTTGTTAGTCTAGCCCACGAGACACGCTGCTGCTGCGTTATTCATTCAAAATATTAGAGAAATATAGAAGCTCAATGCGGAGAAGATCTTGATTAGGTTAAAACCGAAACCAAGCCATTCACACAGAACGCATATTCAGCGCATTTTTTAGACGGACAAATATGACTGCTGCACTCGCGTCTCACACGAGATGTATAGAGAGCCATGCAAAGTTAAAACAGTTTAAACTTTTAGAAAACACGTCACGAATTTGTGGAGGTTTATTCCTTTTCACTGCGTCTCATATGTTTTTAAATGCATGTCTGTGTGATCGGCGCTTCGGCTCTTTAGATTAAGCAATGCATAAATACATGATGCTGTTTTGTTCATAATTGTTTATGCAATTTACGAAATTATATTCGATTTTTTATGTTAATTTAGATGTAATGCACATTTTTATGGAGTTACTTCCTTGCGTTGACAATTTAATTGCGCTGCCTTATTTTGCTCATTGCGTCCTGCTGTGGCCTCGGGAGACAATTAGACCTATACAATAAAGACGTATTTAATCTTCATATGAAAAATTTGAAATTAGATATTTGTTTAATTTTTATTGTGTTTGATTGTTAAAACAAAATATTTGTTGTTTGTCTCAATAAATTGTTAATTATAAACACCGTGGTTAAATAAAAAAAAAAAAATGATATTGCTCTGTTTTTAAAAAGGTTATAAAAAATGTCAATAATTATCGATACCGAACGATATAAAAAATTATATCGTTGATCAATTTTTTAGCTATATCGCCCAGCCCTAATGTCATCAAAGCAAAAATGGTGGCTCCTGTGCCTTTCTCACAATGGCTTTCTGCATTTCTGAATGCAGTGACTGAAATTTTGTTCAGAATAGATGTAATGCACATGTATGTGAATCAGATTGGATAGTATATGCTGCATCTAAACCGAACTCTCAGAATCAGATTGGATTTTTTCATGTTGCTGAAAATCAGTGCATGTAAACATACCTACTGTTGTTTTCTCCAAGGTCCTGTTCATCGATAACTGGCGCGTTCTGCATGGCAGAGAGTCGTTCACCGGCCTGCGGCAGCTGTGCGGATGTTATCTGACGCGTGACGATGTGCTGAACACAGCTCGCTCTCTGGGGCTCCAGGCCTGAGCGCCTAATGCTAAACTACCCAGCCATCATATACCAAAAACACCTTGGTTTCTCAAGCGTTAGGACCGCAGAGGATCACAACAGTGTTACTTATCAACTCAGCTCTTTGTTTGAATGATTTTATGATCTTAATTAAATGAGTTGGTTGTAGAGGATGCATCTTTTGATCCATAACGATTTCTTTCCACAGAAAAACAGATGGTAGTAATAGTTTAATTTAAATGATATATTTTTGTAGAAATGGTCAGGACATGCATTAACTCAAGAGAATATGAGGTGAAAAGGCACTTATTTCAAAAAGGGTTATGCTATAATGTCTGATTTTAAGGTTTTGTTCACACAGACCGACTAAAAGATTAAATCAGAAGATCCTTTGTTTCGCAGAATGATGTTTGAAACTTGGAAATAGTTCATATATATAGTTCAGTATTTACTCACCCCCAGGCAATCCATGGTGTATTGGTCTTTCTTACTTCAGCTGAAGAGAAATGAAAGTTTTAGAGTAAAACATGACAGGATTTTTCATCATCTGATGCAAGTGAATGGTGCTCATTGTAGACCATTTTCAATCGGTATCTAGACCGATTCAAAGTAATCCACATGACCCTAGCTGACAAACAAAAGTCCTCTCCAGTGAAATGATCAGTCCGTTTCAGAAATAAATAAATAATTATATACTTTCTAACTACAAATGTTGGCACTGGTCCAGCTTGTGTGACACATGCATGTTGTGAAGATCATGCGTGACAAAGGCAAAAAGTTGTTTTTGTGTCCGTTTCTTGTTCACAATAACAATTTTCTCGAATTAGGGTTTGTGCCTTAACAGTGATATGGGAATGCATGGTTGAGATAATGGCAAAGATCTCACAAAGTTTAAATGTATATGCTGTATTGCATTAATCTTTGCTAGCCTTTTTTTAATTTTTAGTCTGTAGCATTATCCTGTATAAAATGATCTTAAATGAATGTATGCACAAAAATACCAATGTTACCTCTAGAAAATAAATTCATCTCCTTGCATTTTTTGTCTTGTTGACTTCAGTCCTACCACTTCTTGATTATATTAATTAATTAGTTTACACAAAGAACTTACCGTTTGTGAACACTACACACTGTACATAATAAAAATAAAATGCACACAATAAATACAAAGTATACACGAGTGCAGGAGGACGTGGAAAAGTCAATGCAATTCACATTTTAAAATGTAAAGGTGTAGGTTTAACCAAGATATGTTTTCCTTTAGTTATTGTTTTTTTTTTTGTTCATATTATTTCCTAACTTCCAGAACATATTTTCTAGCTTGTGCGCTACTCTAGTTCACTTGAACCAAAAATTGCTTGTGAAATTCGTCATTTTTAAGTTGTTTTTGATAAAGTCTTCTGATGAATACTGCGAATCAATGCAAACATAATTTTTGAATGCATTGACACATTTTATAGACGCATTATAACCAGCGCTGGGTCTAGTAACTGATTGCATGTAATCAGATTATGTAAAACAATAGTGATCTGTGACATTGTATTATGTTGAATATGAAAGTTTTCGTGTGCATTTGTTAATGAGGGATTTGTGGAGTAAAAACGTTTTTATTTTGAAATGAAAAGGCAGAGCAAAGGGAGATTTTCTCGGCCCCTGGGGAGGAGCCTCTACTTTTCTCGTTGATAACGCGTTATGATATCGCGATGCTTCATATCCCGAGATGTGAGATCTCTGCAGAGAAATACGCACGCGCGCTCAGTCAGTCAGTCACACGTGCTGCGTCCTCTGAAGATGGCGGACACAGAAAGTAAGATAATGTTTTACACGATTTCTGTGATGTTGCTTAAAATATTTTACTTTGCGTTTTTACTCACAAGTATGATGCGCTCAAGAAGTGTAAAAGTAAATCGATCAAAAGATGAGTTCTCAACTTCACGGGTGCATTTAGAAATGCTAGATTTATGCTTATGCATCTAATTTTAGAAATGTGTTTTACTGACATTAATATTACTACTATTAGCAGTAGTAGAAAATCTAAGCATGTTTCCTCTACACAAATAACCTGTTATTAGTTGGCTAGTATTATGGAAAGTACGTTAAATGTCTTTCTGTTTGCGTGGACGCCTGATATCTTGTTTAATGGTTTAATGTAATTTAACGTAAAAAATGCAACGTTAAACTCTATTGGTGGATCAGAACCGTAAGTCCGACTCCACGTGCTGGCCGCACACGCCACGTGGTTCCGCAGCTATTGCTAACTAATTACAAGCTAAGCTTTGTGTGCAGTTAAACCCGGCTGTGCTTTTCCTTAAATCAATATTCATGCTACAATGATTTGTGACGGTGATTTATTTTTGTCCTCAGTTGGATCAGCTAAGAAGAAGAAAAAGACGAAGACGTTCTCAGAAGGAGAAATTGGGGTAATGCTTTTTTTAATATGCATGCACGTTTATGAATTATGAACAACAGTAGATAACATAGCCTTTAACTTGCATGTATAGATATATCATCAGTATAAATTTCTGCTGACACAAATGTTATTTCGATAATGTGATAACGAGGAGAAATGAAATCAATTTTTCAAGATCAAGTCATTTGGTTTGCTTGTGGATCTTCTGAAATATGTGCAGGGTTTGTGCAGGTATTAAAGGAATACTCCACTTCCAGAATAAAAAAAATCCTGAAGTTATTCTCCCCCATCTCATCCAAGATATTCATGTCTTTCTTTCTTCAGTCGCAAAGCAATTAAGTTTTTTTTTTTTTTTTTTTGGAGGAAAACGTTCCAATATTTCTCTCTCTCCATATAGTGGACTTAAATGGTGCTCAACGGATTGAAGGTTACAAATGCAGTCATAATGAAAGTCATAAATTCGTAAAGTCATGGCATTAAAGGAACACTCCACTATTTTTTAAAATAGGCTAATTTTCCAACTTCCCTAGAGTTAAACAGTTGAGTTTTACCGTTTTCGAATCCATTCAGCCGATCTCCGGGTCTGGCGGTAGCACTTTTACCTGTAGCTAAGCATAGATCATTGAATCTGATTAGACCGTTAGCATCTCGCTCAAAAATGACCAAAGAGTTTCTATATTTTTCCTATTTAAAACTGGACTCTTCTGTAGTTACATGGTGTACTAAGACCGACGGAAAATGAAAAGTCGTGATTTTCGAGGCCGATATGGCTAGGAACTATACTCTCATTCCGGCGTAATAATCAAGGAACTTTGCTGCCGTACTATGGGTGCAGCAGGCGCAATGATATTACGCAGCGCATGAAAATAGTCCCCAACATGCTCCCTGTGCAAGCAGGTGGTCACGTTGGTTATGTTGATGGAAGTAAGCATATTTTCAGGCGCTGCATAATATGAAATTGAGACGCAGAACAAAATGTGAATTTATACTTGACAAGAACAAATATCGGTTGATAAAACTTTTCCCTTTTAAATGTAGTTGATTTTTCTGAGCCCGTTGGCAGATTTTTTTTAAAAATGATAAATTCACTTAATTCAGATTAGTTTCACAGAAAACAAGGTTTACGTCATTTTGTGTTATTTTAAAGTAAATGTATCTTGATTTGAGAACCTTGAGACATTATCACTGGTCAACAAGACAGAAATGCTGAGAAAGAGCATCCCATTTTGCAGTGTGACACATTTTTGAAAAGTTTTATCCTAAAATCTGCAGAAACCCTGAATTTGACCACTGAATAGACCGATCTTAGTTATGTGTTTCTAAGACTTGTGTGTTAAAAAAATTATTAAAGCTTTTGTTTTGGTGTCAAGAATTGATGACTTGTACAGAACTATTGTAGTACTAAATTTTGGTTTTGTGACAATACCTCTTTATTTCAATCTATGTGTTGGTCATTTTTTAAATCAGGTTCCTAATGTTTTTTTTGTTTTTTTTTTATTGTTGCCATAAGAATATTCAAGAAAGCGGAGACTTCCTCATCAAACCTGAATCTAAGGTCGCACGCTTGGACACGTCTCAATGGCCGTTACTGCTGAAGGTCGGTGTCCGTTTACCCACAGGTCCTTTCACCAAGCGCACGTGTGGCGTGATGAACGTGTTTATCCATTCGCTGAGCGCTGCTGGTTCTGTCCCTCAGCGGCCTTGTGGTCCGTTCTGGGCCACGGGGTTACAGCGGTCTGGTTCTGCTCGGCTGCTCCAATGTTCTATTGGGTCGACCGGGGCGGGATCTGACGCGCTGGTGCGAGGGTCAGGCCGGTTCTGACAAAGACGAATAGACGTGTCTGATCACATGTGCAAACTTGGGTTTTGATAGTCATTTCTGCTTTGTGTTCTTGTTGTGACCTATAAACCTGCTTATCTACAGAACTTCGATAAGCTCAACATCAGGACGGCTCATTACACTCCTCTGCCACATGGCTCGAATCCACTCAAGAGGAACATACATGAATATGTCAGGTAGGAAATCCTGGATTAATAAGTTATAGGGATGTAACAATGCACCATGAGCCTGTTGAAAATCGATAAAAATGTGCCGATTCAAGTCGGTGGAGATGTTAAACGATTCGCTATACCGTTGGGCGTGGGGGTTTATATGAATGTATCTCTGAGGGGAGCTGACTGTCTTCAGAAGAATTTAGATTAGGGCTGCACGATAAATCTAAATGAAATCGCGATAAGGATGAAGCTGCAATTGTCATGCGTATCTTTCGGTGAAGCACGGTTCTGTGATCAGCAGTAAATCTCCATCCGAAGGCCAGAGGGCGCTCTCGCGCGGAAACTCCAAATACAGAAGAAATCCAAGAGATCCTTATAGCGGTAGCCGAATAAACAGAAGATTTAACTGCTTTCAACATGACTAATAAACACATGACTACGACAATATATGATTTATCTGAGTTCTTATTATAATTTTCATTGTTATAAAGTATATAATAATGCAATGCTAATCGACCTTATCACTGCTTAGAATACTATGAAACGTTGCGTGCTTTATTCGGTGTAAGAAGCCACATCTTACAGAAGGATTTATTTCAAACACTCGACTGTAAAAACATGGTATTTTCACGTGCTTTCAGATGGAGCAGCATTTACTACACAGAGCCGTAGTTCACTGACAAGCTACGCAAACAGCTGTCATTATCGCAGAACGATGTCTTCGATTTCGTTATCATGCAATTAAATCATTTGCGATAATGAATGCGATATTGCGCAGCTTGTCAGTGAACTACGGCTCTGTGAGGTAAATGCTGCTCCATCTGAAAGCATGTGATGGAGATTTACTATTAATCACAGAACCGGCTTTACTGACGAGATGCGCATGACTATCGCATTCGATTAATCGTGCAGCCCTAGTTTGGATGGTATTTTTTCATCTTGTCTCTTGTGTAATGCATGTTAAAGCAGTGTTTTTAAGGGCAGCGCTGCTTTGTTTACAGCGGTAACCAAGGAAACACTGCATCTCTGCTGTTCCATAAGCGCCACCTGCTGTCAGAGAGTGAATTTGCATCTCAGTCCATCTGGTTTTGTTTCGTTCAGATGTTTTATGTAGTATAGGTTCACAAAACTAAAGTCCGAGCATTCTGGTTTTGCTGCAAACTTTGAAATGATAAAATTATTTAAATCTGAAATTGCTCAGGCTGCATGTATTCAGCTTCTTTGTTTGGGTCGTGATTAAAAGGCAGTGGTCGCCTCTCATTTTAAATGGAAAGAGCACAGGCAAAGCCTTAGTTTGTTTATATGAAGAGATTTCATTTATTTGATTTGGGTGTTTGTTTTAATTTTAGTTTAGTTTTGTTTGTTTCAATTTCTCAAAGAAATGTGCCGCATTTTATCTGAGAAATAATGAAAAGACACCTTTTCATTTATAATTTGCCTTAAATATAATTTTGTTAAAATTGTGAGAATCATATCTTGAAATAAGTATCGTGTATCATACCGCATGGTGAGTTGAGTGAATTGTTACATCCCTAAAGTATTAGTCATCATGACACAAAGCCACATGATGTGATGTAGATTGCATTAGCACTCTGTGCAAAGCTGACCTGCTATCTATCACCCTTGACTGATGGTTTCTCCAAAAATGCAAGCATTGAGTTGTACCATGAGTTCCTGCAAGTTTTTTTTTTTTTTTTTAAATCTGCCCAGGACTGGTTTCATTAATCTGGACAAACCTGCAAACCCCTCTTCCCATGAAGTCGTCGCTTGGATCAAGAGAATTCTTCGTGTGGAGAAAACCGGCCACAGCGGCACTCTTGACCCCAAGGTCACGGGCTGCCTGATCGTGTGTGTGGAACGAGCCACGCGACTGGTCAAATCTCAGCAGAGTGCAGGTGGGTCCGCCGTAACGCTGCCAGATCAAGAGTTTGGTATGTTTACACACACAGTAAAATTAGTGGCCTCTCCTTACTACTCTTGTGCCGTTGCTTTTAGGCAAAGAGTATGTGGGCATAGTACGGCTGCACAATGCGCTAGAGAACGAACACCAGCTAGCGAGGGTAAGTAGGACTGTGTTCTGCTTTAAACAAGTAGTCATGTTGGGCAGAATGACTGCATATACTCTGATGTTTGAAATCTTTTAAAAAATATATATTTTCTTTAATTCTAAAGAAAGGTACTATTGTCTGTTAAGAAATTGGACCAAAAAACATTAGATTTATTCATTGCCAGAGTCTTTTGAACTTTTGAAAGCCTTTGTTATGTAATAGAAATGTTATAGCAAGCTGATGTAAATGTGTAGAATTGTGACAAAGGGATACTCTTAGCTCAGTCAACAGCATTTGTCCCATGATGTTGGTTACCACAATTAATTTTGACTGGTCCTTTAACCCTGTAAAGCCTGAAATATGAAATGGACAGAAAAATCAAAGGTTGTTCGTGCGGCGGTTCACTGTTGTGTGTGAGATGATGAGCGTGTTTTATCCATTCTCTGAGTGTCTCCGGGCCTCCTCTCTCTCTCTGGTCTCCTGCTCTCTGCTGCAGTGTTCTTCTGCAGCCGCTGGTCTGGAGGCTCATGCAGGTTTGGAGGCCCCGGTTTCACCAAAGAAGAGCTGACACGTCTGAACATGTGCACACGGACCGTGTGACTGTAAATGGCTTCAGGAAGTCTGAGAGAGAGAGATTCTGAGTCTTTTGTGCTTTTCTCTGCAGGCTCTGGAGTGTTTGACAGGAGCCCTGTTCCAGAGGCCTCCGCTCATCGCCGCTGTGAAGCGCCAACTGCGAGTGCGAACCATCTATGAGAGCAAGCTTATTGAATATGATGTAGAGAGACGATTAGGTAGAAACTTTTAAAAGGTTTTATTGAAGTCGACATGAAATCTACACCTTATTTCTATTATTTACTTTTTACGAAAATAAGGCTGGGTGATCAAATTTGTCTAATGATAATCTATGGACATTTTTACTTTGGATTCGTCTAACAGCTAATCCCACAGTAAAATAAATGGAGCAGTAGTCAGTGCATGCATCTATAAGTCTGCATGTCTCGGTGTGAATGAATGCTGTAGTTTCGTCTGATGCACACACTCAAACACGCATGACGTTCATAGTGATTTCAGGGTAATATATTTATCAAATATAATAACATGAACGTGTGAACTTCATCTCCAGAGCTGCTCCGCGTCACTTTACCAGCTTTATACCGTTTTGTTTGATAAAAACCTAAAGTGCTGTCATACACAAACTCAAAAATGTTCCACCACAAACCGCCAAAAGTTCGATTTAAATTATTACAGAAAGTTACAATTACGGAATGGTATAAGTATATGAAAAAAAAAAAAAAAATATATATATATATTAGTGCTGTCAAACAATTAATCGCATCCAAAATAAACGTTTTTGTTC